ATTGATCTTCTCAGTCCATGAAAAGCACCTGAAGTAGAGGCTCTTTAGCATTCGAGAGACGGTAGGGCTATTCAACTACACTCTTCGGTTGTTGCGCGAGAATGACAATTATATCAGAAGCGAAGCTGCCAATTTACCAAAAACCTTCAACGGCCCACAGGGTAACGTGGCATCTAAGACTGCTGTGTCAATTGAAATGCTTAACGGCGTTAAGAAACTTCCAGTAAGTCTCAGAATTATAGCGATATGACGCTCTTAACATGCTGAATTGCATGACACTAGACGTGAAGTATGTTCACTCGGTTGTGCATCACAAAGATAAACTGTTCACGGTCACGGTGTTAGATTACTCAAGAAACTCTGGAAATGCAGCCAAAGAAGGCTTACAGAGGACAACCCAGTGGGCGGTGTACTATTTTAAAAATCCGAATTCTTGGTGTCCTGTACCCGAACATACCATGATCCTGTCGGCCGTACCAGGAATAGTCAACCGTTACCACCAGTACTGATGGCACCACAGAACATAAAGAAGATGAGGGACTGGGCTTAAACAACGATGGCAAGAGCTGGAATTCCCCCGTCGTACCGCTATCAGAGAGTTATTCAGCTCGGCAAAACGGTCAGCCTCGACAAAAGACGAAATCCCACGTTTCGGCATTTCTTAAATGTGACGGAACATAGAGCTTCATGTTTCCGCTACATTTACGTTTTGCGGAAACGTGTTATACCAAGTCTTAGCGATTCTATCAAGTTTCCGTTATGTTTCCGGAACGAAAATGTTAAGTCATGTTTCCGTCATGTTCAAGGCAGGACGTTTCCGCTGTTGTTCGTTTCCGTTATGTTCCTTCTTTCGTTATCGTCTTTCCGCCTCTCCAATTATCTTTACGAATCTTTACATCCTTTTTTGACGAACTTTCATCGCTCTTTACTCCTAGCTTTTCTTTGTCAGCCGATTGGGTCATGTCAGACTGTTGGTTCACTGAAATCAATTTGGTCATTTGAGGCAATTGGGTCATTCGAGATAATTAGATCGCTGGAAACGTTTAGGTCAATGTGGGTCGACATTTGAGGCCGTTGAGTCAATTGAAACATTGGGTTACTGAAACCGATCCGCGATTAAATTATGATCATTATTTTGAGGTTGCTGGCCCATTCGTCGAGTTGTGCCATTTGCATGAGCTAGGCAGTTGAGTCATTTAAGCCAATTGGGTTACTTCAGACAGTCGTGCCACTGGAACCGCATCAGTTAGGCTGCCAGTTAGGCAAGCAAGTTAGGCCACCAGTTAGGCTACCAGTTAGGCTGCCAGTTAGGCTGCCAGATAGGCTGTCAGTTGGGTTGCTAGTTAGGCTGGGGAAAGTTGCAGTTGAGGCAATTGTGTCATGACATGGTTGGGTAATTTGAGGTAGCCTGGACAACTTGGCCAATTGAGTCATTTGAGACGGTTGGGTGTCTTGAGGCAACTGGATTACTGAAACCGACTAGGTCATTTGCGCTGGTTGGGTTATTTTGAGGTTATTTAGTCATACAAGCTGGTTGAGCCATTTGAGCCAATTGAGTCATTAGTGGTGGTTGAGTAATTAGAAATAATTGGGTCACTGGAACAGATTGGTTCATTTGAGGCAGTCAGGTCAATTGGGGTTGATTGGGTCATATGAGGTGGTTGGGTCATTAGAGATAATTGGGTCGCCGGAACAGATTGGTTCATTTGAGGCAGTCAGGTCAATTGGGTCGATTGAGTCATTTGAGGTGGTGGAGTCATTAAAGATTATTGGGTCGCTGGAACAGATTGGTTCATTTTAGGCAGTCAGGTCATTGGGGTCGATTGGATCATTTGAGGTAGTTGGGTCATTTTGTGGTAAATTAGCAGCTGTGTAAAATTTGGCCACATTGGGACATGCAGGGTGTAAGATACACCTGTAATAGGTAATGTTACACTGAGTAACCTTAGTCACCCGAGTATTACATAGCTGCCCATTTTTCAAAAAATACCCATAACAAATGTCTTAAAGGACTGTTGTATTTCATACAAATATAATTTCACTTCACTCTCTGTACATCACAGTTTTTGTAGCATATCTGTTACTTGCGTCAGTGTGAGCGCAGCAACGGAAACACGAGTAAACGTCACCAAACCGACAGCGGAAACGCGTGTTAACCGTTGTGTTTCCGCAACGGTTTCACACATTCCTTCCACGTTTCCACGTATTGATACGTTTATCCGTGATCGAATTTTAACGGAAGGAAGTCGTTACTGTGATTAGTGTAGGTTATTCGAACAATACTTTAAAAACTTCTAAAATGAACGATATCATCATTTTAGTGAAAAGAGATAAACTTACGCCTTACAGTTACCAATGACTTCTATAGATCAATGCCGGTTGAGAAAATCATCGATATCACCCACCGAAATGGCCCTCCTTGGTTTAGGAAATAGACTAAGATAACTTGTATAATCGGGATCTGGATTGGCCGGTATAAACCGTCGGGATTACGGGATTGAGAGAAAATTTTAGCCGGGATCGCTGGATTGAAGAACCCTATCGGGGACCTTCAAGAAAGGCTAGCTTAGTGGAATTTTATTGAATTCGGAGCTTATCCTTGCTAACTCTTAGAGACAAAATGTTTGTCATTTGTTGTATTTTTCTCAAGATAGCATGAAGTGTTAGTTTGTTGACCAATCCGTTATTTATTACGAAACAAAAGTATCAACTGTTGTTCAGCGACCTCTCAATTGTTACAGATAGTAAGAGAGCTTTTCATTAAGGTTGAAGATTGATGCCACGTACGTTATCACTGCTTTCGCTCTTTGGTGCTGTGAACGAAAATTTTTAACTCGTAAACTTTCAAATTTCTTTTCAATTCTGAAACAACAAATTAGCTTAAACTGGAGCATGAGCGAAAGGTTTGAAAGCTTAGTCTCGAGAAAACTTCCTGTATCTATTTTTGGTTTTTGGTTCTGCGTCATTATTGTAACAAAACCTCATTACGAGATATATGAAGTTTTAGCCCCGCCAGGCAAAAGACCCAGGAAAACAAACAATTTAATAAATTTTATGACGCCAACAGGTGTTTTCGAATTTCAGTAATAAACGCCGCCGTCTTTTTGGTTTTTGCTTTAGAAGGATAATGAAATAGGGCGTCCTCATCAAGATCCTTTAATTTTTGACAGATATTTTGGGCAGGGTTTTTTATACATATACGAAAGTATTTAAAAATCGTTTAAACAACAAGTGAATATATGTCTATTATAGGGAGAAAAAGTGATGTGTTTGTTTTAATAGGAAGGAAATAAGAACACCGAATAACAAAACGAACTTGTGTCAAGTTCCCTTTCCATTGTCGAAATATCGCTGATATGTAACGAACAGCTTTCAATTTTGTACGTTGAAGTAGGGATTCATTACTGTTTCAACCGTGAAAGCCTAAACCCCAGTCCTTTACCTGCGATGATTCAGGCGGCCTGGGTTCAAAAATTTTAAAAAGGAAGAAAGATCTCACGGACTCAAATAATTTCCTTACATGGTCGACCGAAAAATTTGGCGATTTTTCCACTTAAGAAGTGTGTCATTTTCTTTTATATCTAGAATTCCTGGTCTGACTAGATTTCGATATGACGACGTAATAATTAAAAACGTAGATAAAAAGACTTTCCTCAACGTCCACATGACGAGGTTTTCTATAGTCACACTTCCAAATTAACGGTGAGAAAAAATTGCGACCTACAAAACCTTACCGACTACTACCATTGGATGATTCCATTGTTGACTGTTATACTAAATAGTGAAAATAAGAAAAAGAAGACAGAACAAAACGAAAAACTGTTTCATGTACTGAGTAATCGTTGAGATTGAGAAATGAATCGTTTCCTAAATGGTAGCTAAATGTGAAACGATCATGATTATTTATTGTTGATTATATGATATTTGAGAATCTGTAAGCGCCGATCAAGATAGCAGCCGTTTATGTTCGTACTTGCCGCTTTATTTCGCTTTTGAACTTGTTTTATATCTTACAATTTTATATGGTATGGCAACCTTAAGGCCTCTGCTGTCCAATATTGACCAAGTTCAACGCAAAGACATCTTTTATCAAGAATAACCAAGAACTAAAGTTTCCGAGGCGGCCTATTTCAGTTTGGTACAGACATGTTCCGACCTGTTTGGTTTTACCAAAAGATTTAACTGTCCACACGGATGTTGAGCTAAATCCTGGTCCCTTGCAGAAGAAACCAATTTATTTGTTAACCTGCCTACCTACGGTTTCTGGCCTGGTCTCGTATCCAGGTAATAAACTGTTGTCTACGAATAATGCTGACACCCTCCATGTTGGAATTTGTAGTTCCTACTATTCAGACGTCTTTCATCGATTTTCTCACTGGCCTTGTTCATCGCCATCATCATCGACCTACAGGAGATGCCGCGCTGGCCGTCGAGTCAGAAAAAGGAAAGCTAGAAATATTCACAGAATTGAATCCCTGGTTTCTTATCCACGCACTAGCCGAGGAAGCGAGAATTTGCATAAAGGATCCATTTCAAATAACCTCTACGTCATCACACCTGTGAACACTCGTTAATCCGCGTTCAATTCTTAACTTTGCGGTCTTCAATTCAAGATCTGTTAGGAATAAGATCGAGAGCATCATTGACCACGTCGCTGAAAATGACATCGGCCTCTGCACCGTTACCGAGACCTGGTTAAATGACGCTGACTCCGTCAGTATTGCTCAGTTATCTGTGGCTGGCTATTTTTTTCAAGAATTTTCCTAGATAATCGCACAACCGTGGTGGTAGTACTGGGATTCTGTTTCGAGACTCTCTCAAAGTCTCATTAGGGGATGGGAAGGAAAACAAGTCCTTTGAATTTTCGGAGTGGGCTGTTAAAGTGCACGATCGCTCTATGAGATATGTGATAGTGTATCGACCTCCATTTTCTTCGTTACACCCCGTTTCAACCTCTGTCTGTTTTTGATGAATTCTCTCAGTTTTTAGAGAATGTTGTTATGTGTCCCGAGGCCCTTGTTATCTCTGGAGACTTCAACCTTCATTTAGATGACCTCCGTGACAATGACACCAAGAAATTTATGGATTTACTGGAAACGTTCAGTCTTTCGCAACACGTTTCGGGTCCGACCCATCTATCGGGTCTTACCTTAGATTTAATTATTACTCGTTCCTCAGATGATATTTTTCTTGCTTCCCCTAAAACTACTTTTCCCATCTCCGATCATTTTATTATTCAGTGTCCTATTGGTTTCTCACGACCAGCTTTGTCATGCAAAAAACTGACTTTTTGTAAACTCAAAAATATTGATATTGCTGCGTTCTCAGCTGATATTGCCTCCTCTATGCTTTGTGAAAGCGTACACTCGGACAACATTGATGCACTCTCCGACTACTTTAACAAGACCCTTACTGACATACTGGATAACTTTGCCCCGCTTAAAACAAGGACTATGATAAATCGTCCAAAGGTCCCATGGTTTAATGATGACATTAAAAACTCAAGCGTCAACGTCGTCGCCTTGAAAAGAGAGCCGTGAAAACTGACCTCTCTGGTGACTGGAATAATTACCATAAAGTTCGTAATCGGTACTCTGCATTTCTTAAATCTGCACGTGTGAATTATTATTCAAACCTAATTGATCAGTGTGCGGGTGACTCTCGCAAGTTATTTCGTGTGGTTAATTCTTTGTGTAGGGAACCACTTGAGACGGCTCTTCCAGAGCACACTGACCCCACAAAGCTAGCAAACAAATTTGGCACCTTCACCCTCAAAAAAATTGAAATCATAAAGGAAAATCTTGACAAGTTTCAAGTTCAAGAACCTTGACTCATTCCTGTTACTCCTAAGGAGAATCGGGAGAGTTTTTTCGCGCTATCCATCGAAGAAGTGTCTAAGACTGTTCGAGAATCCTCCAATGCCTCTTTTCGGCTGGATCCTGTTCCTACATGGCTACTGAAGTCTTGTCTTGATGTATTAGCGCCCCCTATCACTGAGGCGGTAAATCTCTCTCTTCTCAGTGGTCACGTTCCAGAAAATTGGAGAACTACCGTTGTCTTTCTTCTACTGGAAAAACATGGACTTGATTTGGTCTATAAAAATTTTCGTCCAGTCAGTAATCTTCAATTCATTTCCAAGGTAGTGGAAAAGGCTTTACTTCAACAACTTCTCGTCCACTGTGAAAAAAATGCCCCTCTCCCTAAATTCCAGTCAGCTTCCGTAAGTATCACTAGACAAAAACTGCTCTATTGAAGGCTCAAAACGACATCTTAATGAGTATGGATAATAAAGTGACACTTCTCGTACTTTTGGAACTTAATGCTGCTTTTGACACCATTGAACATTCCATTCTTCTGAATATCTTGCAACAGGATTTTGGAGTCGTCGGGACTACTTTAAATTAGTTCGACTCATTTCTGTCCGGTCGCAAACAACGCATACTTGTTGGTGATAAAACTTCTGATGACTTTAATCTGAACTGTGGAGTCTCCCAGGCTAGTTGTATGGGGCCTATTTTATTCACTCTCTACGTCTCCCGCCTCTTCAACATTATTTCTCAGCATCTCCCTTCCGTCCATGGTTATGCTGACAACACCCAGATTTACCTCTCCCTCCGACCTTGGTCTATCCATTCCGAAATTAACGCTGTCTCTGCGATTGAGATGTGCATTGCTGATGTTAGTTCTTGGTTTATTGCTAATCGTTTCATGATCAACGACGCAAAAACTGAGTTTCTAGTTATTGGCACCCGCCAACAACTTGAAAAAACATCTATTGAATCTATTATTATTGGTGACACCCTCATTAAACCTTTAGAAAGCGTCCGGAACCTTGGGTCCTGGTTCGATGCCCATATGCGAATGAACGTTCATATAGGCAAGATTTGTAGCAAGGCTTTTCGCGGATTACACAACATAAGACAGATCAGAAAATTCCGTACTGTTCAATCGACTAAGACACTAGTCCACGCCTTTATATCCTCACACCTTGATTACTGTAACACACTACTCCTTCGGTCTACCTAAATATCAACTCGATCGCTTACAGAAAGTTCAGACTGCTGCGGCTAGAATGATTTTTCAGATTCTGAAATTTGATCATATCACACCTGCACTTATCGACCTACATTGGCTCCCAGTAACGTTCAGAGTTCAGTTTAAATTGCTCCTCTTTGTTTACAAGTTATTACGCAACCAAAGTCCTCCCTACATTAAAGATCTTTTGTCCCTGAAACCAGCTACTAATTATGCTCTTCACTCATCTGCTCAATCTCTTCTGTTCGTTCCAAAAGCCAATTGCTCTTCACTTTGGGATCGGGCCTTTGCTAATGCTGCACCTGTTTTATGGAACTCGCTGCCATTAACTATAAGAACAAGTAGTAGCCTCGCCATTTTTAAAAGGCAACTTAAAACATTTCTATTTAGGAAAGCTTTTAGTTTGTTTCAATAGTTCTAATGTTTATTGCCTTTGAATATTTTAATTTTAATTAGTATAGAACTTTAACTTATGTAAAGCCCTTCTGAATATTATTTATAGTTTTAGCGCTATATAAATTCCTTATCATTATCATTATCATTATAACTGCTCCAATTCACCACTTACAGGCCGTTATCCATCTACCGCAATCTACCACTCTGACGAAGGGCTAACGGTCGAAACGTCAGTTGAAAATAGTAAATTATATAATATAGTAAAATAGTAAATTACCCTGTTATACTCTCCCACCGACGTAGTACCACAGTTTCTTCCACAATTTCTTTTGAAATTTACCCTCTTTATTAACTCACAAGTTAGAGACAAAATGGATATATAGGAACACAGCAATTTAAAAATGCAAAAGGAATAAAAACAAAAGAGAAACTAACTAATCACATCGGGTTAATCAACAGAAAAATTCGGTCGGACGTTTATCAGGTCATAAAATTTTTCTAAAATCGACCTCATTCGTCTCTTGGCCGACAGCGATGACTAAAAGACTTGTGCCATGCTGCTTGATTAAAATCTAAAAGCCCGTGATAAATGACAATTTGCAAAATGACCAAGCTATTGCCAGCTCTGTCATCCATCTCGAAACTCTATTTGCCATCAGTAATACTGTGAGCCACATCAGTATATATAAAGTAACATCAAGCGAAAAATGCAATTAACTTCGTCATAATATTCTAACATAATAACTTGAAAATAGGAAGACTACGAGCGGTCCATAATTTATGGCGAAGTCCGTCGCGCGAGTCAAGAAAAATAACAGTGATGTTATCGCGCCGCGCAGAACTCTGGGTTTAGGTGCATGAAAAGTTAATGTCATTTTTTGACGCTTTACATCCACCGTTCCGCGCGGCGAGCTGTCATCAATTTCTTTTTTTTTGCATTGGTTTTTTTACTCCCCCGACGGACTTCGCCGAAAAGGAGGAAATACTCGCAGTTAAGCGCATATAATAGATCACGAGAAACGACAAACTCATCTGCTAAATGGTGTTCTCGGAATATTACACCATATTTTACTAATTTGTTACTAATCAAATGTATGGAAGCCGAAAGAAAGAATTCGCTATCGGATCTTATGACGTTTAACTGGATTAAACTCTTTTTTTTTATGCGCCTACTGGTTGAGAACTGTTTTGAAAAAATCGCTCTTTTGAGAGATAACCACCAAACCACCATTGAGTTGTGGCCTCAGGCTCTGCACTGCAGCGGAATTTAGGGCTAAGTCCATCTCCGTAGAAACCGAAAAAGTCCACAATTGGATTCGCTTCATAATAAAATTCACATCCGGTATTTGTGCTGTCTGTGTGGAGAATATACTTATTAGGAACCTGCCAGAATGCCATGGTAGTGCCAGTGCCCGCAGCTTTTCCGCGAATGTTCACATAGTCTATGGAAAAACAAGTTCGCCCACCCTGCCACGTTAAGATATCCAAGTCTTTGAGCTTTCCCCGAAGGTAATCTTCGAAATCAATTGCTTGTAGGTTGTTGATATTGCACGTTGCTCGCCAGTGCGTGGATTGACTACGGATGGATTTCATTCTTGCAAGTGTCTCGCGGTAAATAAACCAGTTTGGACTACCTGCGTTGATTGGAGCATCTTCTGTGAACAGTTTGGTTTTGAAATAAGGCAAATCCCGGAATTTCGCAGTCTGCCAAGACATTACTAGGGTCCACGCGGAGCCCGGCTCGTATGACAGATCACAGTAAGTCATGTATGGATGGCCTTGGTTATCAACTAGGACATAGAAACCATTCTGAGTCATCCCTTGTTGTAAATAATCCAGGCAAGATTTGGGAAGGAGCGGCTGTGTAAAATAAAACAAAAAGTAATGCGAAATGTTTTCTTTAGAGGTTTTCTCGATCAGTAATCAATACTTCAAAACTTTTTGGCTATATTATTGCATGCGAGAGACCAATAGGATTGTTTCAAACGTATGCAAAAAAGCCCTCGTATGTGGAACGATTAATCTGTTGGCGACTAATAATGATCGGTGCAAGTCCGCTTGCTGACCTCACGCCAGCTAGCACTTCTGAAAGCCTCAAAATTATTCGCGGCCGAAGAAATGCCCTCTCCAAAGCGCTATTAAAGAGGGCTCATTTAGCGTATAGTTCAAGATTTTATTAGCTTGGTCGGCCGAAGGTAATATTGAATCAGTTTTGAACGATTTCAGCGAAAGCGAAGGTACGTGATGTAACGGTCGCACAGATCATTTCCCATGGGTAAAAGTCCTGCCTATTCTTCTCGCTGCGCACTGCATTCTTAGCTCCGCTGGCACGTTTTGAAGTCACGCAGAGGCAAACGTTAGAAAAACAGGAAGTTCTACTTGCGTTTCAGTGAAACACGAGTAGAAGAACCTTTCTCATTTTAATGCGTATGTTTCGTTTTTTTTCCAGCACGTGATTTACGCCTGATGCGTTCCCGGAATATTGCCCCACTCGCCTTAAAACGCAGAACAACAATAACAACAACAAAAATGACAAACAAACAGAAAGGAAAAGAAAAAATCGCTTGTTCCTCAATCTAGCTCCTTTGTGCAACATGAGCTTTCGAAGCTACGCAGTCCATTGAAGTTTTAAAATATTCTTCCAGTGATAACATACGTTAGGAACCCTGTCTAAGCTTCAAATCGCCAAACTGCTCACTGCAACTGAATCGTGCAGAGCCGGGTCAGCTGCTAATGAGGCCACGGCGTCTATCCATTGACAACATGAACACGTACGTATGAGTGAGTAACGAGACTGTTTTATGTGACAATGCGCTTACGTTAACTCACCGATGTTAATTCAGGAACAGGGGAGGTTTCAACCAAGGCAAAGAGCAAAAGGAAGTGAAGAGACTTCATTCCGCTCGAGGAAGTAGAAAAAAGTATAAAACTTCGATTGCGTGCAGGATTGATGCAAATGCGATTGAGTGTCTGAGACTATTTGTTGGCATGGCCCATGTAACCTTTTTGTGCGTCTTTTACCTCGTCTAAATTTAGTTTCTGAGTTTTGTCGCGTCATTAACCAATTTGGATAAGAAATTTCGTGCCCTGACCTTTTGCTGTCAAGAAGCATAAACCGATTGCGATTGGATAAGCGCTATCAATGCAAATAAAAGAAAATGTTATTACCTAAATCAGACCACCAAAGAGAATTTTTGATGAAAAAAGAAAAAAAACCGTCTTTGAGGTATTTAGATCCCAAGGTTGTAATTAGGAGGGATTTTGGTTTGAGATGGACAAGACAGACCTCAAAGTGTTTGAATGACAAAAGGTTTTTTTTCGTGACTTAGAGCTGGATTAGGAGAAACTACTTCATTTAATTTAACATTAAAACCTACAGCATAGAGAAAGAGTCAATGAAGGGGTTAAGCCTCTTGGTAAGTTGACTTAAACAAGAACTAGTAAGCAAGCATTGTATTATCAGGGGTCTGTATAAACAGAGATATTGTTTGCTGCGTGTCATGATTTAATCCTTTCATCAAAAGTTAAAGGTAAACTTTCCTCAAACCTCACGTAGGCAAGATATGCTCTTGATTCGAACAATGCATCAGGACAACAAATAATCAGTTTTGTAATATTTAGTTCATAAGAAAATAAATACATTTTTCTCCATTCCACCATCTGGGTGATCAGGTCCAGACAAATCTTCTTAAATAGCTGACACCGTCACTCATCAAGGTCAAATTTTTGCAAACTCTTGCCAACTACCTATCATAAAATTCTTGCCAAGTCATCATGAGTACTCGCGCAATAAACATATTCCATGCATGCAAGCGCACACGAAGTACTGCATTGACATACACATGCATGTCAACACGTGGAGTACATACACATAGAGTACATGCATGCAAGCACAAACGGAGTACAGTGTAACATTCTCTCAAGCTGGATTCAAAAGAAAGATACCTCTCAGTCGTTTTAACATGTACACTCTACCCCCCCCCCCCAAACAACATCTGTACTATGATATTTCACACAAGCAGCCCAACATACACAACACTCTTGCGGCGTAGACATTAATTTCATGTACGCAAATGGGAAGTGTCTAGTGGCGGAAGTTGGACTAATAAGTTGATGATTCTCTCTAAAAAATTCCCTGCAGTTTTTTACACAGGACTGCTTCTTCCTTTTCTTAAACTGTGAATAGTCGTTATTAATTGAGGCCTCAAATCAACGGACCTTCACATTTTGAAACTCATACTTGGCCTTGCGTAACATCCCAAAAATCGACGCGAGAGAGAGGTAAACACTTTCTTCGGCCTCCTGTTCTTTCTTTCAAATGACTACTCATCTTTTCCGCAAACGAAGATAATCAATGAAGACCCAAGAAATACAAACGATCGAAAAATAACCGAAAAAATGAAAGAAAAGTTGTACTGTGTCAACGCAAGTTAGTAGATTTAATCATTCAACGCGTTTCCTGTCGAACCTCATTTACAAGATGTATAAACTTGGCTGGGAGAGCTATTTGAGTCCTCTAAAACATATTTGAAAACTGGTTGACAATATTATTCCGTTAGTCAACATGGGACGGTGTGTGACGCATTAGTCACGCAATGTCTGTTCATAATTCTGTTACCATAGAAACAAAAAAACACTCTCGGCAAAGGCGCTTTGTTCAACAACTGTGCTCAACAGTTTAGAAACATTGATGGTAGTGAAGACAGGTTATCAAAGACACAACTAGAAACAGAACGTAAATGCCTAATCCAAATATTTCAACCCAAGGTAAGGGGTTTAGGGCTGTTGCTTAGATTCTTCCTTGAAAACGAAAGCGACAATTTGTGACAAATGATTGCACGTACTTCGCGTGAATCAAGGACGCCATATTTTTGAAGAACAACTGTAGCACTAAAAAACGGCGTTCAAGCTTGAGTCTTAGTACTTTTTAGTTTATTCAACACTCAAGTCGATTTAAATGCATCGAAGTATCTCTAAAACACAAAATGTTTCTGTACGAGCCATCAAAAAGTGTTTCTACATCCCGTTTTTTCAACGGATTAAAACAGCTGAAAATCTGTAGTTCCTTGGACATTTGTAAACGAAGGCAACTTACGCGCGTTTTTTTTTCTTCATAGTTTCTGCTTATTAGTAAGTGACTGTATAAAGGAATCTAGAAAATATATAGCCAATGGTTTTGATCTAAAGATCATTAGTTATAATGGCTTCTAAAACGTTGTGTGCGGCAGCCAGAGAGGTTTTTGAGTACTCCGTGTCCGGTGGTCAGAAATTTTTGCAGTTTCCCCAGAGAGATCCTATTAAACTTCTTAAAGTGTCAGATTTTTGTTTAGAAATTCAAGGCGATTTCCAAACACACCTATTGTATATTTTTTGAAGTGGATGAATTTTCTGAGCTTGTGCATACCCTAGAATTGTTGGATTTTTGACAATTAGGGAACATCTCTGACCTACTAAAAACCTGTCTGGCTGCGGGACATGTTGACACTTAGCTTCTTAAAACCGCACACCTGATTCAGATAAAATGCATGAGCTGTCCCAACCACAATTATGTAATGAGTACGCCCGTAAACATGTCTACTCGCTGGTGTACTCTGTGGACTTTATCTTGAGAATTTCAAAGATGTTATGAACATGCTTAGTTATAACCATTGACAAATTGAGGAACGTATCTTCCATCTTGAAAGTTGATAATCTGACGATGAAATTATCCTCTCCTTTCTTCTCAGACTGGTACTACCATGCTCCTAGTAAGAGAGTGGCACAACCTGCAAAACCTGCTCCTGCTGCATCACAGATCCCTGGGATAGGGGGACTCCCTGATGAGTTGGCCAACCCCGAGGGTGATGATAGACATTTCAGAAGGAAGTGGATAAGGGACACAGACTCAAAGTATATAAAGCTTGCTAAAGGAGGAGGGCGAAAGAATTTGTTGACATTCCGCAGTCCACAAGTGAAGGCTGAGGAACCAGTTCCTTACCCACGAGTGGAATGGTTTGATCATGAACATCCAGAAGAAGAAGTGGATGAATCTAGTCATGAATTTGTAGTTCAAAATGAGGAGGAAAATAAAGAGAAAAAGCAAGGGTAAGCATAGACACATACAGGTATTTGTGCAACATGTCAACAATTGTATAATAAGAGAACTTGAGTTGATAGTGTAAATCGGCCACCATAAACTGACATTTCAAGTGTTAGCCCTTCATCAGATGGTTAGCTTATTAGCTCCATCAATGAATCCCTCAATACTATGCAAACTTCAAGATTCAACCAATACCTTAACCCCCTATAAGTGACTGGCTTCTAATTTCTCTTTACAGTATCACCTTTGAATCAAATGTAGAGGTCATGAGAATAACAAAAATTATCACCAATTCAAGGAGCTCATGATTTTCAAACAAACTCTCCTTGTCATTACTGTAGAAAATGTAGAGAGATCAGTGTGGAGCGTATGAATCTTAATGTTAGAGTGTAACAATTAAATTGCATCAATTAATCAGTTGGAGTCCTTGAATCCAGGAACAATATCTTTTGAACATTCTTTCATGGGACAAGTGTAAAATATTTACTTTTACAAGTCTTTCAGCAGGTGGTCAAATGAACATGCAGTAAACCAACTCAATGTGTTGTCTTTTCAGATATCAAGTCCTCCCAGAATGGTATGTTCACGTCCATGATGTGCCAGCAGATGATGAGATTGTGACAGGTTCTTTTCGATCCAAACGACCAATAATGGGATTTGATAATCTTTCCAAATGGCAACGGTAAGAATTCTCATAGTCAACATTTACCATGAATATTTCAAAGAAAATGTTTAACCATTCAAAACCTAGAAGTGACCAGCCTCAAAATTCTCTCAACAACAATACTGCTGAATCATTCTTTTAGATTATGAGAATAAAGGAAATGATCACCAACTTAAGAAGCTTTGATTGTCATAGAATTCTCCACATCAGTACCAATGGAAATGTATAAAGAAGTGTACAAAAAATATGAATACTGATGTTACTGTAAAAAGGTTAAAGATAAATGATGTTTCCATTGCAGGGACTCTAAAGATGCAAAACAAAATCCCAACAATGTTAGACTTCCTCCTTTGAAGAAGATTCACAAGGTGGATAAAAGGTATGAAGAACTGAAGGCAGCACAAAGAATTGCACCTCAGGCTCAAGGAAGACACGCAAGGTTACCAAAAATGTAAGTGAAATTTAATACTGTGGCTAAAATGGATTATTCCCAAATGACCTACACCAGACAGGAAAATTCATCACTTTCCTAACTAACAATCTAATCTGAGAGCAAAACCTAACCCAGCAGCTTGTTGTCCATTGATATTTTAATCCTCTGAGCCTTAAGGATTGACTAACATCTAATATTTTCTTAGCAACATCATCCCAGAATCAAACATTAACTCATAACTCTCAAGGTCTGATTGTTGATTCTCACCTCTTGCTGTTATACATTCCCTTGTAAATACTGTACCTTACAAGAATTTGGTCTTAGATCTAGAAAACAGCTTTTATCTGATAACTTTGAGTATTCACATTACAAGTTTGCAGGATAATGTGTGGATATTATAGGGAGAAGTTACATGTTAATCACCTCTGGGAGTTAAAGGGTAAAGGTCACAAGAATAAAGGAAATGATTACCATTTAAAGAAGCCCTTGATTGTTAAACAAATTCTCCTTGTCAGCACCTCAGAAAATGTATAGAGAACAGTATGGAGAATATGTATACCGATGTTGGGGTGTAAAGGGTTGATGTACTTCATGCAGTTTTCTCCTTATCATATTTTCTTCTTCTCTAATAAACCATAATTTTAGTTACCTTGGTATTTTTATTTTTATAAAAAATCAATTGAAATGAGCTATATATTATATTTTTAGTGAAAATGAACAGGTCGATTTTAAGCATTTGATGTCCATGGGTTACCAACGAGATTGGTTGCAAGAACAGAAACAAAAGACAAAGGAAGAAAAAACAGAAAAAAAGGTTAGTTGAATTGGGAGTTGTCTCCTTATAAAACCCTCCCAAAACATCTATTTCCTCTGGCAATTAAATGGCTGTTGTTTAGTTTGTTTGTACAACTCTGGGTAACCAAACAACAAATGATTTAGTCAAGTTGACCCCAAAGAAGATCTTGAATGTTAAACAAATTCTCCCTGTCGGAACCTAAGCAAATTTAAAAAGAAAAATGTGCATGGAGACTATATGCCTACTGATGTCTTGGTGAAAAGGGTTGAAAATTAAAAATATTTTTGTCCATAAAATGCACCAGTTGGTAAAGTGATTCTTTAAAAAAAAACAGTGTTACTTTTAAATTTCACTACTAATGTGGTTACTTCTTTTAAAGTAATTAAGCCAGGATTCTTTAACTGGATTTAGTACATACCAAAACAGTGTTTCTATTCACCTCCAAGTAACTTACGCTGGATTTGTACCCAAAAACATCATAATTTTCACAGGAATAAGTGACTTTTGTGCCACATTGTCTCACTGTTTAAGTATATACAGAAACAGATATTCACCTCAGAGTTGGTGGCTAACAGTATATATTTACTGGTACCTTGCTGCTTAGTGGCCTTGTAAATATCCATCCCAGGCCACCTCCACTTTGGTAAATAGTAGTTAATAACTAATAATAGTCATCAGTAGTATCAAATATAGTACTTAGTTAATATTTTTTATCTCTGTAGAAACAACAAGAGGAAGTCGAAGATAAGCGAGAGAAACAACACAATAAAGCTATAAGGTAGGCTCATAAACTGCTTAATTTACAACACTACACCTTAGTAAAAAAGTAAACTGTTTACACTTGCTGTGATTTGGTGACATGGGACAGTCATCAAAAGTATTACTCATTGTCTTATCATTAATAATGAATTAATTTTGTTTCCAGGAAACCAAACAATGCATCTGATGGTGACAAACCTATGTTCAAACTTAGCAAGTAAGTTTACTAATGGTAACCATTTTGATTGAGGAGTAATTTGTAACATCACTTTTTTTGCAAATATCACTTAGTTTGTATAAATTTAAATTCATCATGCATTACTGATTTTTTTGCAACTTAGGTTTGAAAGGATACAACCCAGAGTGGAGAGTTTCCGGACTTGAACAATCCCAGGGACTTCTGTGTGATTCATCAGATGGAGAAAAGCTTTCTGCCTTTTAAAAATACTTCAGGTCAGGAGGGCCCTCAATAATATTGTCAGTGAAACAAACCAATTACTTTACAGCACGAGGGAATAAAAAAGGGAGAATCTAGCTGACATGCAAGCCATCAAAACATTTACATAAAGAGTTTTATTTAAGACAACTTCAAGAGTGTTTAAAATTCGATTTTAGATACAAAGCTTTGTGCAAAAAGTTGAACAAAGATATTGATGTTATTTAAGGTGCTTTTAGTAGCACACTAGTTAACTGTGTGTTTTGCATCAAGTTATTATGGGAAAAATTCATTTTGAACCAAGATTACCATTACCTAATGAGATTTTAGGAAAAGTGTCACTAGTGTTGTCCAGAGATTTTAAATAACCAGCCATAAAATAGCTCTTGTCAGTAAGGGTCTAACTTCATTCCAGATCAAGACAAGCATTCTACCACTTAGTCTTATCAGATTAATGGGCACTGATGAAATGAGTGACCAGTATAAGCAGTGGCCTTAGGTGCTTCTCAAGAACACTGCATTATATTTAAAATCTGATTTATATTGTGGATAAGCTAGAGGGTTCATAGAGGGATCTTGAGGCAAACAGATGCATGAATATTGATTCATAAAGAGTGAATGATATACACATGTAAATTTTTATGACATTCTGATGAGTGTTGAGCTAAATTGCTCTGTAAATGATTGTACAAACTAACATGAACATTGCTATCAAAGTCATATGATTTAGAGTAAAGTTGCATGATCACAAGTCATCATTGTGTATAAAAAGTACTTGTATTATTTATTACATTATATAACACATACATGACGTTTTATTCATTTGTGAATCATTTGGGAGAATGAAAATAAAAACTTCTCAGAATTTGTGACCACTGTTTGTGAACCTGCCAAGACATTGCCTGTAATAGAACTGACTTTTCCAACTACCGATACACAGCATGACACATGTAGGCTTACAAAAAATTATTCAATTTTTATTTCCAAAGTAAATATTTACAGTATCTTACATAGAAATATGAACAAAAAAGCATAGAAATAAAAATAACTAACAACAAAAATTTATAGCTTCTAATTATTTACAATTTTATCTAATACACTGTGGAATGCTAGAGTGACAGTTTTCCCCACAACTGGCAGTAACAAAAAATGTCTTAAATGCTTTACATTTTAAGTGAACGGGCAGGATCAAGTTCCTGAGTTACAACTTTCACATTTGTATTATGGCACTGTAATCTTCACCTGTAATCAGACAACAATCTTGTGGTTCTAACATTTCCAAATGGAATATTAGGATGTCTAAATCCCAACTCAGGTACTTGTCGATCAAAGCCAAAGTAGTCTCCTGTGTCATCTTTGAATAGTCTGCCTCTGTTTTCGGGATCAAAAGGGGTAAATTTTCTCTTTACATTTACGACATCATTCTCTTTATCCATGGCTAAGTTGCCATACAAATATGGCCTTTTTGGAATATGAGGTACTGCTGCTTGCAAGCCTAGAAAACGCTGAGTAGTTTCAGCTCTGTGGAATAAGAAGAAGGAAGATCATAAGTTTTGAAAATAATTTCTGATAAAATCATCCACTGAAAATGAATTTTGGGTCCCACCAAGTTTTGAGGTTGTCAAAGTAATACACAGTCAACAAAAAGCAACACCTCTATGTAACTTCACCATCAAAGCTGTTGAGATATTTCTCTGGGCTCAGTGTTTAAAGGCAGATTTAAGTGCAAAACTAAGGTCAGATCTTTGTTTAATCTGGGTTTCTTTATTCCCTATTTTTTCCAAAAATGTTTTGGTATGATTTCCTCTATCCTTTTTCACAGCATCCAACCAGCAAAATGAACAACCCAGCCTTGGTCTTTTGAAGAAAATGTAACAAAATCAAATTACATAATAAATGCACATTGCTTTACAATTCAGTTTTCCAACTTGAACAGTGATTATCCTCGCCTACCCAGCTGGCAGAACTCATATGAAAAAGGAATTGTAGAATGGCTATGCCTAAGACTAACATTATAATGCCAGTTCAGATGCTGTCTCTACATCATACCTTGTTACTTTTTCTTCTCTTTCACTCAAAGATCTTTCTTTATCTTGAAGCATTTTTTCCCTTCCTAGGCATGGTTACATGGTGGAAAAAAAAAACCTTTTAGTTTGACTTCATTAAAATATAATGACAGCATTTGATATCTTACGATAAATGAATGGTAATGAATAAAAATTTAAAAATTCTCTTAGATACTTTATGAAGTCAACATACTTTCCAACTCTTTTTGCTTCTCAGCCAGTTGTTTTTCCCATCTCCTGCAAAACTCAAAATCATTTTTCTTCCCATCATTTCTGAAATAAAATAACAGACAATGTAAAAAGTTAATAAATTAAACCCTGTAGCACCTTTCATTTTCTCTCCTGTAAATACTGATCATACTTATGTTTACTTTCAAAAATAGACTTTTGGTAACAAGTAAACTGAAGACATGAACACAAAAATAATTATACTAAACTCAAATGCTTAACAACAAAGTTAATTGAGACTGTTTGCATAATTAAGTGTAAATGGAGATGAACAAAGTACCTGGATGGGTGAACCTTATATTAGAAGATGGTCATTGCTGAGTAAAAAGACACTTACTCTGGCTCTGGTTCTCGGTGAAATCTCTGAAAAAGTGGACTGCAAAGAAGTTTGTCTATTGATGGTCGGCGGTCCTCCTGTTGATTGTACATTAAGATAATCATCCTAAATGAGCATATCCAGATTCATTAAAATAAAATAAATCTTGCCAAGCATTTTGTTGATAATTTCACAGAAAATGTATCATTACTGGGTGACAAACCAACTGGAAGCATTCTTACATTTACTCTCAGCATGGAGTTAACAGTTTCACTCAACTCTTGCGAGTACTGTTCAGGGATTGGGCGGAACTTTCCTACTCTTATCTTTGCCTCCAGACTCCTCTGATTCATAGCAGTAAAGGGAGGTGACAAGGCACAAAGTTCGTAGACCAGACATCCAAGTGACCATATGTCTGATTTTTCATTGTAACTTTGCTTGTTGACTTGCTCCTGATAAGGAAAACATAAATGAGTCTCTGTCAAGAGGAACAGCATTCACAAGACTGTAAAGTTTTAACATTTGTAAAGAACACTACATACTGAATGATTGTAATGCACCCCTATGAAGAGTGGAGTACATAATATTTTTATCCAGTGCCAAACTGCTTTTTTTTCCAACGCACGACAAATTTAAATGCACTTTTCTGGTAACTTGACTTACATACACCTTTCTAATTGGATAGAAAAATCAATTAGCTCTATGGTAATAAATTAATACAAAAAAAGAGGTGGTTAACAACTCACTGGTGACATGTAGTATGGTGTCCCTACAAATGTTTTTGCAAAGCTTGTGTCATGTTGAAGTACTCTTGCTAGTCCAAAATCTCCCAGTTTCACATCATTGTTACCATCCAGGAAAACATTGGCTGGCTTAAGATCTCTATGTAAGACATGAGCACCATTCTTTCTGCGATGGCATTCCTTAAGAGCCTCAACCAGCTGATACATGATCTTAATAATGAATTCTTCTTCAATAAGTCTCCTAAATAAATGACAAAAAACTTGTATTCATCTCATCTGCATTGCTAATTTTCAATCTCCAGACAAATATTTATATCCCAGTGGGCACTGGATAGCTACTGTAGCTTTTGCTTATTCTGAAATGCAAAGATTCCTTAGAATAAGTATGTAGAATTCAATTATTTAAATCTTGTGTCAAGTTAATTCCTGACCTTGTATGTTAGTTATTTCTGTGAATGGCAGAAAAATTTGCAAGGCTTTCTTATGAGAGTGTAGTACTAGTAAGAGAAAAGTGTAAAGTTTTTCCCCATGTCTGAGTAAAATATAGCTCAAGCCACCTAAATAAAACTGGAGAATCCTGTGTAGAGGCCAGAGAATTCTCCAATCTCTGAAATTTTATGCATTTCCTGGTTTTCTGTTTAAAAGTTGATAGTTATCTGAAACCCTTTCACTTCTAGAAGTGATTAACATATAACTTTTCCCTAAAATATCCATACATCAATCAACCAAATTCTTGTAAGTAATATACAAGAAATGTGTAGCAGCTAGAAGGGAGAATTAACAATCAGATCTTAGGAGTTAAAGGGCTAACCAGTTATATTTCAAAGATGTTTATGAATACCACAAGGAGACGTTGAACATTTACACATTTATGGGAGTAGGAAACTAATAAAATCAAGATTATCACTCACTTCTCCTTTCTATGTTTGGCTATTAAGGCTCCCAAGTCACCTCCCTCACAAAACTCCATTATGATGTAAATAGTTGTGGTGGAGCGATCGAGAATTCTATCATAATAACGAACTATGTGTGGATGCTTCAACTCTCGAAGAAGATTCACTTCTGAAACTAGCATTTGTTTCTCAATTTCTGTCATTTTTCCATAATCAAGTTCTTTCCAAACGAGAATCTAAAAAAAAAAGCACAAAAGATGTTTAGTGCAAACGTTAATGATGGTTGTAAAAACTGATAGTTGCTAGACTAGTGCATGTTTGAAGATAACCATGCTATTCAAACAAGTGTTCTGCACAAGTTTCGCATTCAAAACTTTTGCAAATCGTTGTTTCCATTAGCCAGATTCAAGAAAGATTATGAGCCGAATCACAACCTAACTGGAGAAAAGCTACCTCAAATTCTTTGGCAGTGTGGAAGAGAGGATACCTTTTTATCGCTTCGTCGGCGTATCTTTTTACACGTTCCGTATGAACCAGAGCCTATTTCTCCAAGAATATCGTAGTCTGTAAGTTTAGACGGCATGGCTTTCCTTTTTGTTCCTCGCAATACCTTTGTTGATTGATGAGAGGGTATCAGTCGTTCAGCTCTTTAATCAACTGCCGTTTATCTATGAATAAACAAAATTTAAAAAGGTCTAAACTCATTTTCTTCGCCCTAAAACTTGTATAAGATTTTAATTAAGAAGAAACGAAGTACACTGGAAAGAATGAGCGTCGTTTTGACGCAAAACTTACCAGATTAATGGTGAAAACTTCTGCTGTAGCTCACAAAATTAAAATGGTATCCTACGCGAACAGTCAAAGCGGAGACTTGAACTTCGAGCGCAGCTTTCTCATTGGCTGGTGCTCTTACTTAAGGGACTCTCAAACTCAAGACGAGGCTGCGATGAAGTGTTGGTTTATAGGTCTGCAAGTCGTGCAGAACAGAGCATCGCGTTGGAACATTCGAAACGTTTCGATAAAATTTGCACCCTTTGGATGAAAGTGTATGTTTCTTCATTTTCTTCTTCTTTTTTAAATAGAATACAAGGAATATGTCATTTATTAAGATCACATAATTCTACTCAATTACCTTTGAGTATATAATTTTCCAAATTACAAATTGGCCATCTTTATCAAATGTGAAAGCGTCATTCGATCAGGAATAAAACAACAGAAAATATAAGAAAGAAAAAGAAAAGAAATAATTAACCTCAGCTGACTGAGTTGAGGAACAGTTTAGGTGCTAAGGAAGAAAACCCAAATATTTACCACATGATGTGCGCACTTGAAAAATGGGTTTAAACGAAGTCATCTAAAATAAGTCTTGATGAGATGATTCTATACCAAATTTTATATTGTGAATATAATAATTGTTAAAATTTTGCTTATTAGACGGTGGACCGAGGACTCTTATCTCTCTTTATTTACCTGACAAAATTTGTCGATCGGGCGATAAGGCACCAAAAATTTTGCGAGGATACCTGTATATCATATCTAACAGTTAGTTCATACGTTATTGTGCGTGTTCATTGAGATACAAATCACCGGTATGAGAAGTTTAGAAATCAAGGAAGATGACTTAGAGTCGCTTGAGGCGTAGCTAATAGCAACTGTGACTTCTTGAGTGCTTTCCAAACTGCGTCATAAGTCGATGACTCAAGATCCTGCAAAGCCACAGTTTTTTTCCTTTACATGGTTTGTTTTTGGCTGTTGCCACTTGATTACTACGTTTAAAGACAATTTCCTTTGGTGGGCGTACTTTTTGTCTACTGACCTTGCCTTGGATCTACATTGATGTTCTTGTTTTGGCTTCGCATTCAAAGATCGTTGGTTTGATCGGAAGCCTTGAGTGTGTTGTTACTAATTCGGGATAATCTAGTGAAGTTGTACGTGTTAACGTTCTGATAACAAATGTTTAATCTTCCAATGTCAGTTGGCTGCATACTCATTCATGCCTTCCGTTAGTGTATATAAAACCTTTTACCGAAGAGTTGGTAGTTGAAATGAGAGGGAGGGTCAAAGTCAGTCATTCCGAGCGATTAAAGACAAGATAAGTAACTGAGGTAAATTAATAGCAAGAGGAAGACTGCAGAAATTATAGCAGGAGTGGTTGAGCTAAGCAGTATCAATAGCCTGCACTTTCTATCGGTTTGCCGGCGCAGTATCCCATGCGGGACGCTTAGAAGACACGAGAAAAGTTTTATAATCACGAGCCGAAGGCGAATGATGAACAAACTTTTCTTTACTTCTCCAAAAGCCCAAGTGAGTTTTTACGCCGGTGAACTGAAAGAGAGTGTGGTCCATTGCTTTTATATGATATGATATGATATGATATGCCGCGGTATTTCAATTTTTCAACGGGTTAACCGAGCAATCAGGGTGCCTGTAGTATTCCACTTTTTTCATAAACGCGGGTTATAAGGAAGAACTTAAAAGGCAGCGCAAGAGTCCTTAATGCCTTCCGTTGTGCGTGGTACGCTCTGCAGATAGCTTCCCGCCTATAACCAAACCGTAACAATTAACCCTGCTGGGAAACTGCTTTGGCAATTAATCCCTGAATAGAAACCTGTTTGCACTTTAGACTCATTTGTAACCTCTCATTAATACCATATAGCGTGCGTGTATTTTTCTGCCGGTAACCGTTCATCTTTTCAACAAGGCAAAGAAGAGAAAATGTTGTTTGGACGACCACGCCAGGAGTGACAGTGATCTGTCGGGGAATAGCACAGTTTTAAATTTTGACTCATAGCTAAAATCGGAACCAAAGTTAATCAAATTTGGGAGATATCAAAACAAAAGGAAGACGTTGATGTAGAAAACTTTCAATATGAAAATACAATAAAAAATCTTGTCTTCTTCAGGCGTTTTTGATTACTCTTCATGTTCATTTTTGTTATTATAAAGATTTTTTTATCTTAAAGAGAGAATATTATTTAGATAATCACACCGGGAATGATCGACACTGATATTTAGAGGAATAACATGATTTTAAAGATTGACTCACAGCCAAAATTTGGATTCAAGGTTCATAATGAAATTAGGGATAAATAAAACGAAACTTAATAAGGAGGCATTGATATAGTAAACATTCGGTATGATCGTACGAATACAATATATATATATATACGTATATACATATGTAATGTTTCTTGAGGCGATATTTTTTACTTAATTTTCTCACATGACTTTATAAAGATTGTTAATCAAAGATAATCTGTGATAAATCAAAGAAAAATAAAAATTACAATACACGATTAGAGATAAGTGTTTGTTTTTCAACAGCAATAATTTCATTGCTGCAAAGTGTACCATCAAGCAGATTGTTCATTTGCTTATACATCGGAATCAGCAAATAATGATCATGATTGCATTTGAGAAAAGGGTTTTTTTGTATACCTAAAGTAACACAGAAATTTTTCTTTCTCACTTTGAACAAACATGCGTATAATATTTTTCTTCCCGATTCTCTATTCAATGAAATCTTTTGTTGAAAGTACGGCCTCCCGTCGAGTCACTTTGCCGGTGAATATGGGCTTTGATCTTATTTCTCGGTCGCATAGAAAATCTTCTGCTTTGAAGCATGAGTGTTCATTTCATTTTTCTCACGAGACGCTATGATTATAAAACGTTCTTTTTTTTTCTTTTCCTTTGCGAATTTATTTTTTAGACCTCAGCAAAATTACCTTTAACTTGCAGTAGTATAAAATATATTGGTTTTCTTTTGCTTATCACGAAAGCAATCGTAAATCTAATGAGGGCTTCTTCCTCAATCTCTGCGTTAGGAAAAAAATACATAGCTCTCTTTAAACATACTTTTAAGCAGTAAGTCAAACAAAAAATTTGACAAATTGTCTAAATTTCTTGACATTAATGCGACGAAGTCGAAAATCGAAGGGCGGATTTTTTACGGAAAAATAACATGAAAAGAATAACGGCGTTATCGAGGATTTTTTCATAACAAAGAAATAAAAATTACAGTTGAAGAAATTAAAAGTAGGTGTATTTTTGCAGAAGAACCATTGAGTGCTTCAATTCTTCCTATATTGGTTCCATGGGAGATAAAAACAAACATGGAAGACAGTTAGCAACGTGTTCCGTTATTGGACAGTTCGAAGATTATTAATACTTTGTGATAATTGATAGGAAACTTCAATTAAGATTGTCAAGAAACCCATTATTTTAACAAACTGTCGCCTCCGTCGCAGAATCTAAGCTCTTTTCGCTTGGGTTACGCATTTCCTCTAATGCTTTTAATGGTGTCAGTATAATTGACTGGGATTCTAAAATTTGTCCCATTTGTTTCAAGTTTTCCTAAACATCGAGATTAATCCTGATAGTTTATAAATATATTGTCTTCCACACTCAGTTCAGGTAAGTAAAATCTTGCATCGAGTTTCATCGAATATGAATTTCTCACTCAATATTACATCCACAGATAAAATTAAATCCTTGTCCTTTAGCGATTTTATTTTCGGTGCGAGGACAGTTACTTTACTTGTTAATTTGGTGTGAAGTTTTAGACATTTTCCAACTGTGTCAGTGCATACGTCGATGTTAATGATATTCCGTAGTTCTTTCGTGAATCTTGTCGTATATTATTAATCAAGTGGATTAAAAATTGCCCAACATTTCCATGAAGAATTGATGTTCCTAAAGGAAATGACATTATGCCAATTTTATTTTAAAAAATCCCAGGCTATTGATGTACTATTCCTTTTACAGATTATTTCTTTAATTCTAAAATCATGATTCATGCGGGTTTTATCCTTTATTGCAGTGTCACTCTTTTTTTTATGCATTAATGGTTAGGGATTAGCGCATGAAATGGATTGTCTTTGAATTAACAGATCTTCATTGATGTAAACTATTGATTTGCATTCACCACAGAAAGACCGATATTATACTCAAGTAAATAACAGGATGAAATATCTGCAGCAAAATGTTAGGATTAAAACGCTAGTCAGATATACATCCTCCTGGTTCTTTAATCCCAATACTGGTGTTGTTTGCGTGGGATATCAAGCCTGAGTTTCATTTTATCATAATTTCACTATTTTGCAGCTCTCAGTTTTGAGTAGCAAACCCTTTACTAGGTATTTCAATATATAAATTTTTACATAAGCAGCTGCCGATGATGTAACAGGCGGCTGTACCCGGTGAAGGGGCCGTAAAGCGAATAACCCAAAACGCAGACACAAACGCAGCTAAACAGACGGTGCTAAAAGGTCTTACAAGTGGCGATACACCGCTGGTAACCAGCTTTCGATGAAACCTCTGCTTTATCCAAATAAGCTGTTTTAATAACGTACCTGTAACTAAGTAAATAACTCTCAATTACATATAAAACTTCAACATTGGTTCAACACGAACATGAACAAATTAAAGTTTATAATCCTCACATTTTGGCTTATAAAACGTCGCGCTTGATCGAGAAGAAATGATGATAAATTTGAAATAATTAATTCTTTTACATGTATTTTTATGCCAAAGAAACTTTGAATACTCATATGGCAAATGATGCTAATTTTACGGTTGAGACGATTCTTGACATTACAAATACTGTTTTCAGAAGATTCTAAAAGGCACCTGTTACGAAAATTAACATTTCTATATTTTAGAAGATCCCCCAGGGATGAAGAAGCCGCAGTGCCTAAAATTTTCACATACAACAGACTTTTGTGGTTGTTTCTGCGCTACCGAGTAAAAGTGTTGTTTCAGTCAAGATGTGACGTTGTGCCTTTGCAAAATAGCTCTTGTCACCATTGTGACATGCAAACTGAGTAGGGTCGGTCATTATTAATCATTCTAATGATCCCCCCTCATTGGTAGTCAATTTTCTATTGTAGACAACGGCTGGTGACTAAATAGCGTCACGAGTGTGAAAAATAAAAAAAAAATCAGATTTGTAGCGCTGCATACAATTTTGTGCCAAGATTGTGACAAGAAGTACGGTGAGGGACAACTTGCTTTTTATTGATTTAATATCAATCGGAATTGCTTTTCCGCCACGCATGTGCAGCACTGCTTGTTTCTGGCAAACCTTCTCACTCAGGAGATATGCTATTCCCTGCAGATCTTTGTGGTGCGTGGGTCACCTAGAGGCGTGGCTAGGCAAGGAGGAGATTCAGTTGGGAGAATGAAAAGCGGGGCGGCCTTGGACCCTACTCCTTTAGCTACGCCCCACATCTATTATCTAAAAAATATTTTATTGTCTGTTTATAATGTGAAATCACTTCCAGGTTTCTCCAGGACTTGAACTTCAGATGTGTTTGTAATGGGATGTTCCGCTTCATTTCATCATCGTGGAACAACCAAGAACCGGTCTCCAATATCAGTTTCTTTAGGATTGAAACATCTCTCTGTTCCTTTGAGTCGCAAAACTAAAATCACTTTGAAGGAATCTTGGAAACTTGTTGAGCCTGTTAAATCTGAGGCGGGAAAGGCAATGTTTATGAGGTATAGGAAAGTTATTTTACTTTTATCCATTAATTTTTCTGTTATTTATTCATTCATTTATTTATTTATTACCGTTTTATGGCAGGATTTAGAGCTGGGTAAAGGATATGCAACGAAGAGGGAGGGTTGAGCTAATCTCAGTTCCCATAGTATATAGCAACTATGGGTATCAGCTCGGATCACAAAGAGGCGTGAACGTAAATACAACAAGAGAGATGTTAAATTCTGCATAGTTAACAGCTATTCAAAAGGAGGTGGCTAATAGTGAATATTTACCGAGGTGCGAGGCACCGACACTGAGATGAAGACTTGTTTTAGTATATACAGAACAGTGAAATGATATTGCATAAAAATTTGATTATAACTCATTTATTTCTGCAACGATTACAATATCTTCG